GCATTAAATATTAACAAAAATAAAGAATATGATAGAATAGATCAAAAACTATAGAACGACAGAAAATAATCGCAATAATTTAAACGGATAAGATCGTTCATTTTGGGAAAGATATAATTATAGATAAATCATGGTCACTTGGAATATTTTCGGTGCACGAATTATGAAGATTGTCGAGCAAAGACTGGAGATAGGTATCGATTGGTTTGAACATTGTATAACGTGGTACAATTTAAATTGGGATACGCTGACAAGGTTGTTCGTACAAAGTTCAAAAGGTACTTCAATTTGTCAAGGAAAATCGAAATAAGAAATTATTGTTTGACAGAGTCGTTTCGTTATCTTCGATCATGAACTTCGGACATCTCTGTTGGACTGTTCACGTGTATATGTACATGTGATAATGAACTGTTTATCATTGTACATAATATTAGCAGAGAGTGAATAGAAAAAGTTACAATATTCCGAGCTCGTTTCTAACCAGACTTTAGAACTATTCATCTAAACCACTATGATTTTTATCCATTGATGAAGATTTCAGGCCAAACAAAACACATATGCAAACACGTAACTTGCTTTCTGAAATGCAAGAAATGCGTTTATCACGTACATGAGTAAACTTTTTTTTTCTCTTCAGCACTTCAGCACTCACAACAGATTTCACGAAACTCACAATTATTTGTAATTTGTCTGTCATATAAAAACTTTCATTTGACGTGCAAAAATGTAACGAGCAAAAGTAAGTAAAGTAATTATAAAACAAATCTCAGAGTTTGCTGTTTGGAATTTTGATTGATTATTTACTGTTTGCATTTTGATTGATCGTTCCTTGAAAAGAATGCCAATTATAAAAGAATCAATATATAAAGTGGTAATTATGTGACAAAGTATTGTTACGAAAATAATTCAGAAAGACGAAACTTGGCTATGATCAAAATAATTACTAAATATTAGAAAAAAAAAACAAACATTATACTTCGGATATTATCGTGTTATTAGATTTCACAAATTCGAACATTCCTACAACTGCGAAAAATTCGAAGTCTACTTATAATACAAAGAAGAGGAGCGTATCATCGATACAACATTATACACCTGAGTAACGTCTGAGAAGCGTTCACGGAATAGTAGATAATTCTGTCAATTGTCTCTGTGTGTACAATAAATATATTCACAATTCACCCACAAACTTGTTTCAAGTAACATACCGTTTCGAAAAAGCTAGAAAGAAACGAAACACGATTTGCCTCAAACGATTTCGAACTTGACCGACTTGTCTCTGTACAAATCATTTCTCGATAACTAATCGAGACACGCGATTCGAGGCCTGAAGCGTGACCAGTTCCCGAAGAATCCGTAACAAGTTCCTGATTTCACGGCGCCCACAGTGGAAAAGGGCGACCATGTATCTCGGTGGAATTTAATTAGCATGGCATCGCGCGATTGCCAATTTACGGGAGTCTCCACTCTCCACACCTGCATCATTAGCCGACCTCTTTCGACCAAAGGTACGACAGATTTACGAGGTACGTCGAGCTACTTCATTACCTGCTCGTCGAAATCACCGATAATTCCCGATAATCTGACACGCGTGTAACAATCGCGCGAGTGGCGCCTTTGCTCGCGAGTTTCTTCGTTGTTTCGAATCTTTGTCGACGAAAGAGTACTGTTTCACAGACTGTGACTTTCAGGGGATTCGATGATTTTGATAGTGGTCGTTATTTCGGAAGATGTACGCCTGATTCGAGTAAATTTCTAGTTTACCGACTTCTCCCAATTTCGGTTTTGTTTTTTTTTTTTTTTATCTAATTTGATAAGGCGACAGTTGGCAGATCATTCGGAAGAATTTCTTATTAAAAAAAAAAAAAAAAAAA